GGAGGCCGGGAGCTGCTGGGGCTGGGTCCTGGGGGTCCTGGTGGCCCTGGGGGTCCTGGTGGCCCTGGGGATGGAGCTGCAGGTGGTGGCTGAGCCTTGGGGGGCAGCGGAAGGGCCGGGGAGCCCCCGCTCACGGCGCGTCCCCCAGCACGGCGGACAGGGAGCACGCGCCGAGCCTGAGCTCGGCGGAGAATGCCAACATCCAGCCCAACCCCGGGCTCATCCTGAGGGCCGAGCCGACCGTCACCAACATCCTAAAGGTGAGTGTCCCTGCCCGCTGTGCCGGGCTGCCCCGGAGCCTGCGTCCCGCAGTGCCGCTCGGAAGCGGCTGGAAGTGCTAGATCTCCCCCTGTGCCGTGGTGGAGGAATTACTGCCAGCACCCGGCGCACGCGGGAGCCTCCTCCTCCTCCTCCTCCTGCTTGCTAAGCAGCAGCAGGAGCCATCAGGCCACACGTTGCCTTGTCAGTGCCCGCAGCGTGTGCCAGCTCGACCCGTGCCCCCTGTCCCCGCACGGCGCTGGCTGCCGACCCGCGCTGCGGCTCCAAGGAGCACCTTTCCCCTCTTGTCTTTTTCCCTTCCCGCTGTGTTTTCTCTCTTAGACCATGGATGCAGATCACTCCAAGTCCCCCGAAGGTTTGCTGGGCGTCCTGGGCCACATGCTGTCCGGGAAGAGCCTGGATCTGCTGCTGGCAGCGGCGGCGGCCACGGGCAAACTGAAATCCTTTGCTCGGAAATTCATCAAGTGAGTGTGCGCCTGGGTGACACCGTGGCCGGGGCACTGGAGAGGTCACTGTGTGACACCAGACCTGGCAGAGCCCTGGGGGGCTGCACCCCCCCCAGCCTTCCCCAGTGCTCCGCTCAGCGGATCCGGTTGGGCTGGCGGCACCGGCACCGTGTTGGATCCGGGGCGCTCATGTGTGTGTGCCCGTGTGTTGTGAGTGCCTGTAGCTCCCGGGTGCCAGTGGCCTGGCTCCCGCACACACGGCAGCGGCGTGACGGGAGCCCCGGGACCCCTTTGCTCTGGGGGCTGCTGCCGTCCGAAGAGAGAGTCATGCTCCGAAATCCCCATTTTGGTCCCCTTCCGTCCCTGCCACAGGGCTGTGCGGAGCGGAGCTGGCAGCGCCCTGCGGAGGAGATGGGAGAGGGGCACGTGGGCAGGGGCAGCTTCCACGTGGGGATGGGAAGAGGCCTTCGTTTTGCCGTGGCGGTGAGGAGGAGGAGGATGATGCTTCATTGTGTGTCCCTCGCCCCCCTAAGGCTGAACGAATTCACGAAGCACATCAGCGCCGGGGAGAGCTGTAAGTGCGCGCGGGCCGCGTGCCGGGACGCTGCCCGGAGCCGCGCTGTCCGGCCGGGAGCTGCCGGCAGG